CAGGACCATACATGGAAATGCACGTCTCTTTAACTTAACTGCAAGAATCAATTAAATGTAATAAATAATGCCCTCTTAATTGTGAAGTTACTGGGCCTGTGTTCTATTTTACAGGGTGATGTTAAGGGTAGAGGAGAGAAAAACACAACTTCCTTCAGCTGAACCTTGACAAACAAAGCTGTTGTTTCCTTGTCCTATTCTATCACACTGCCTGTAGTCATTTTAACTCCAAAAAGTGCCAAAGAAATCCTGCCTTTGACAAATGTGCGATTTCTTTCCCAGACTGGAATGTTTGGGGTTTGGCTTTTTTTTGTTTTGTTTTTTTTACCATTAATCGCCAGCCATCTGCTCCTGACACATTGCCTTAGATTATATCAGCAAGGTAGGAATTAAACAGTAATCCAGGTGGATTAGGCAGGGAGATAGATTGAAGGGCAAATCTCACACAGTTAGATTCCAAATCTAGAACAAGTTGACTAAGCCCTTATTTGTAAGAGGGGTGGGGGGCATCAATATTTGAATTAACATATATTTTCTATTTTTGATTTGTGGTTTAATATTTTATAGGAGGAAAATCCTGGAAATCAAATCTGTGACAGAGGTTTATTTATGCTGGACACATAGTCTCAACCATTGTAGCAGCTCTGTGCATGTTTGTAACAGCAGTACCTCAGTGCAGTGCACAAAATAAATGTTCACCTGTGCTTTGTATTACCTATAAATGGAGTAATGTTGCATTGTTCAAAGCAGAGCCATAAACAATGTAGTGGAGGTAAAATCTATCATCTCTACAAGCAGCTTATGTGATTCTGGGACACAGCATGTGTTTGATCTGTAAAAATTATAGGGTTTTTTTAATCCACGCAGTCTAAGCTTTGCAAAGGTTAAAAAAATAAATATTACATATTGCAGTTTAGACTTTAGGTTTTATTCTTAAATCCTTAGAGACAGATGTATGGTGGAGTTATAGCACATAAGCACATCACATTTGCCCTAATCTCGTTGTGAACGTCTCTTTATTTAGTGAAGTGTCACGGAAGGACTAGATTTAAATTATGTGGTAATCTATTCACATCTTCAACTTTCAAGGTAAAGCTGTCCAGTTTGAACTTAGATGACCATGCAAGGAAGAAAATGATCAAACTCCTTGGCGAGAGATACTGCAAAAACACAGATGTCCTCACCATCAAAACTGACAGGTAAACACCTCTTCCTGAAAATATAGGGTTAAAAGAAGATTAAACTGATGTCCTCGTACATTTTTTTATTCTTCTCCTCTCTGCTAGCTGCCCGCTGAGACAGCAGAACTATGACTATGCCATGTATCTGCTCACAGTTCTCTACCACGAGTCTTGGGTAAGTTGTACATTTTTCTTCCACTCTAACTAGTTCTTGTGTCAACTGAAGGGAGGTCCGATAAATTGGCCTCAGTGACTGAATACTGAAGGAGCAGTAAACTGAGTGAGTCGGACTTACTGAACTCACAGTTTCAAACAGGATATCCATGGTAAAAGTCTTCGGCCCAACTCCGCAACTCTACCTGGTGTTAGATGGGATATTTGTGCCTTTTCTACGTCCACTTGAGTTTCTCTTTTTGTTTTCTAACCTTTTGTCTTCTTTCAACAAGCATCCATTCATTTAAAGGCCAGGTGCTGTCTGGCATTACTCGTACCCTCTACAACCCGCTGTCACTTTTAACGCATTTGCCCTGGAGAGGTTTTAGTTCAAATGCATCATGATGTCTTACCTAATGCACCACTCTATGCAATGTACAAGTGTCACAGGGCCTTCATCAGCGGAGGGTTCTTACTTGATCTATTTTTTGCCATTATAAAAAGATATGTAATTTAAAATAATTGCTTTTTAGTGTGGATATGTGAAATATAAACACAGCGCTGATGTGGGGGAGATTTTGTGTGTTGTCTTGTATATTTGGTTTATGAGGACAAAAGGCAAAACTTCAATATTTTAGAAAAAACAGTATCTCCTGCACTAGATACCAACAAATTGGTACCTTAGACCATTTAGCAGGAAAGCCAGTGAAGTCTTATTTTGACGGCATTTCTTTTTCCGATTTCTAATATTTTTATATTTGTAGCTTCTTTTCATATGAAATCCCTTCTTTGTCATGATCATATCATGATCACCCCAGATTAGAATAAATGCAGTGCTGAGATCTTGAGTAACCCCCTTTTGTTATATTTTGACTTTCTTATACATTTTTTAAAAGTAATCCTGAGCAATAGTTCTGCAGCATTTCTGAAGGTCTTTAAAATAATCTTCGGGTATTGGCTACTTTTTCACTAATTTTCAGACCACTTCCAAAGGAAATTTAATTTTTTATTAACCTCCTAAGAACTGAACTCTTTCATGGCATGCATTTTTAATTTCTCTTTGCTATTTGGGCTGATTGGGAGCTGATGAATGTAAAAACAAAGAATTACCTCTTTTTTTTTTTTTCTTTTCTTTTTTTTGTGCCAGATCCACACATGAGGACATTAGTTTTAAATTTTGATAGAATATGAATCATTCAAGCACAACAGGTCAAGTAACTTAAGGGGCTAAACCATTGCTGTGTCTACACATAACAGATAATTAGCAAACAACTGATTTTAATTGTATTTTTAGGCACTTTGTTAATAACAGCATGTCACAAAACTGCTTAACTTGTTCCCATTTCTTTAGTTGAATCTGCAGTTACATCTACAAATGTAAAGTATTTTTGTAGCCACGAGGTGGTTCCCCAAGAGCTACTAAAACTTGGCATATCTTGACAAAGGTCATGTCCTTAAGAAACGAAAAAAATCCAGCAAACATCCGACACGGACCCAAAACATTTTTTGACCCTTCAGTTGGTCCATCTATTGTTCACTGAAGTCTCCTCAGAAATGGTCTCAGTCGAATGACAGCTGTCAAGAAGCCATTTGTAAGGAAGAGAAACTGGGTCAAAGCCTGGGGTACACTAAGTTACACAAAAACTGAAAATGTTTTCATATCGTTTCATCTTTGGTGGCATTTACGTACAACTAGCAACATGGCACACCTTTCACTGTGGGCAATCTTGTCCATCTTGCTTAGCGATCTGAGAGACTAAAGCCCATTAGGGAGGTAGCAGAGTTGAATGGGCAGAAGGATGGCAAACAGCAGCATTGTCCAGTTGACATTTACCCACAGAAGAGGAGAAAACAGACTCCCCTCTCAGGTGTTGACCTTGATACTCATTCACATTAAGCCAACCATGCCACATCGGAGAGGTGTGCCACCAGGCCAACAGTGCTTAGGCACTGTTGGCATGAATCTGCAGCCAGCCACATAAAAGAGCACGATTGTGCAACCTCTGCCTTTAGGAGCTCTTCCTGACATGGCTTAGCCAAAAAAAAAAAAAAAGTTTAAGTTGAGAAAAGGCTGTTAAAGCCAGGAAGCAAAACACTGTCCACTGCCCTTTTGAACACACAATGGAAGGCACAGTGCTTGTCCAGCAGGCTTGTGGAAGCTGTGAGAGTGGCGTACTGATCAGGTTGTAACGATAGCTCACAAAGGGGCCAATTGTTAGCAGCCACCGAGGTGATTATATCTCCTCAGTCAGAGAGATGGACTTTGCCTGTTAATTCCAGTGTGTGCTAATTCAGGCCAGCGTTTGGGCTGACCGCTCAAAGCTGCCTCCAACATGCACACGCATTTACCACTAAGAGGCACTCTGCCTGCTTTTGTGCCCGCATGCCTAGCACCTGTCATTTCAAGAAACTGTGGGGCATTTAACCCACTGGTGAGCTATCAAATATCCTGCCTGTTGATCAAACTACTGAGCATTGCATACAGCAAACATCACAACACTTTGCATTGTTTTATTTTGTATTAATCTCTAAATGTGGAAAAATAAAATGTTAGAGCGTCAGTGTGTCAGCTGCAAACCCACTCCAAAAAATGTAAAGCTATTATTCATTAAGACTCAGTCACAAGGCTGAAGAACTGCTTCATGCTTGTGATTAACAGTAGAATAGCTGCTGCTTACCTATTCTGAAGTATTGATTGCTCTTCAGTCACTAGATCTGGACTTGCTGGAGACAGCATGGGGATCAAATATACATATATGTAGCTAATGATGGTCATTAACCTCCAAACACCTGCGAGCAGGACCCTGTTGCTGCCCTGCTTTAAGCTGCTGCACAAGGGGTCGTATTGTTCTTCAGGGAATGTGATGAGAACGAGACAGGCGGCAAACGGAGAGCTACATATGGGAAATACCATCTCTGTGAGAGGAGCTTCAAAGAGTGGGAATTGCTGAACCAGAACTCCAATCAAAATGTGGCTTGAATTACAAATCCAAATTTTCTTTTTCTTTTTCATAATTTAACCTGTGGTCATTTGTTTTGCTTGTTTAAAGTTAGAAATGTTATTCTCTTTCTTTCTTTAGAAAACTGAGGCCTGGGAGGCCCAGAAGACTGTGGCAGACATGGAGGACTACAGTTGGGAGGACAGCCCGTCTCAGAAGAATATCTTGGATGTACTCCTACGCATGAAAGTGGCAGGAGAGGGAGACGGTGAAGAAGTGCGACAGCAGCTGCTGGGAAGGAAAGACGTTCAAGACTATAAAGATTCGGTCACACGGCTGAAGAACGAAGGGGAGAGTGAGAGCAGCATGCTGCAGTACAAAGAGGCAGTCAAGAAAGTATTCAATATGTAATGTCAGTGAACAAGAGCAACAAGAAGAAACATTTTTACATACTTGGAATTGTCCCTGTACATAATGCATCAGGATATTTCAACATCATGGGTCTGAATGTGTTAGTTGTATATATTTTCACAAATATTCACTGGCATGCGAGGAGGTCGTTAATACAAAGATAAAACTGTATGCAGAGTGTTTCATGACAAGGCGATGCTTTAACGCAATAAAAACATACTGTAAGAGTTACTGCTCTAATGTCTATCCCTTTCCCGCACTGTGAATTCAGAGAACAGCACCCCGTGAATGCACGCTTTCACCAGCAAGCTGTTGAAAGGTACTTTTAGTTTCATCTGTGATCTGTGCACTTTTAGGTCAGGGGCAGCCTGGTGTGATGAATTAAAGGTTAAACACTAAAAGCCACAGATCCAAAAGCAATCTGTCATCAATCCCACTAAAGACGACTAATTGATGACCTAAACAATCCTTGAATCGTAGTCATTAATTGCTTAAAAGTGCCCATTAAGTTCCACCTACTACTGGTGTAGACAAGTGGCCAATGTTTTGAGGTTTGGCATCAATTACATTTAAAGTGACTGAAGTACATCAAAATGTAGGCCAGCCAAAAGGACACTATATCGAATTTCTTAAAGAAAATGGGTGTAGGCAGCTCTTGTGTTCATTCATTGCATCAGAATGAAACCAGAACCATTGCAGCTATGTTTTTGGTTGTTTCACCTAAACCTTAATGTCACAAATTGGCTCAAAGGAGAGAGTCCACACAAGAGGTTTTCTTAAATAGAAGATAATTTATTCAACATAATCTAACCAACAGACAAACATTACAAATGGGTTGAATCCAAGTGGAGTCTAAGAGAGACTAAACAGTTAATCTATAGCCTGAAAGGCACAAGGGATCTGCACTAGCTGACGATCCTCCCATGTCAGGCAATTGATAACAGGCCAGGAGTTCCTTCAGACATTGAGATGGTGTCACCCCCCACACCATCTTAAAATCAAGGTTCCACCTCAAAACTAGAACTTAACCTGAAAAGTTATAAATCAAGGTAACAGAAAATGTAAAAAATATACCCAGTCATTAAAGTGGCAACCGAAAACTACCTGTACTCCCTGCCAGCTCCACCCATCTTACCAGCCCAGGTTTTCCGTTGTCAGAGCAAATGAAGGGCAACAGGAAACTACCAGTAAAGAAGGTATCATAGAGTAAGGTGCTTAAAACAGTTTGTTTAAAATAAAAATCAAACTGGCATAGAGAAAAGCGCAACAAGTTTCCTCCCTTAAATAGCAGTTTTAATCTTGCAAGAAAACTGGTTAATTTCAACAGCAAATCAAAGCGTTGCTCCCTGAATGAACACCAGAGTTCCTCACAATGATCCCAGCACCATATGGCCTGCCTGCAGCTACAAACAAACATCACACTGCTTTGCAAATATTCCAGCTACAAACAAACCTGGAATTAAAGTTTGAGTATGAACCAAAGTATCATACAACAAGGTTCCTCCAAAGCAAGGCTATCGAACCAATCAAGATGTCTAAAACGTTAACAAAGAGGGAATCGAACTAATTGCAGTTCTTACCCATCATACATTTACCAGTACCAGTTGTGTACATTTACTGCACGCAATTGTACCACAAATATCTTTGAGAATTCCAAACACATTTGTAAGGCTTGCAGGAGAGCAGGGAGGACTACTCATAAGAAGTTCAATAGTGATGAACTAACCACAGAGTGCAGGCTATCTAGTCCTATTTATTGAGTACAAACTAATCTTAATCTCAGTCTTTAGACATATACTTGTTAGTGCTTGCACCACCAGTTCCACTGGCACCAACGAGCCAGAAACTTTGTAGTTTTTGGAAAGAAAACAGAAATGTTCCAAAGACAATTTCTTCAACCACATTCTCCACCACACTATTCAATTCATGGTATTTTTTTTATTTATATAGTGCCAAATCACAACAACAGGTGCCTCAAGGCTCACTTAAAAAAAAAAAAAAACTTGGTTGGTCTCCTAATAAGCCAGTTTAATCTGATGGGATGCATGGCTCTTACACATGTGGTTAGACTCACTCAAAAAGATAAAGACATTTGGTTTGAAGACCAATTAAAAAAATAGGGATTAATCCTGCTCTCTTCCAGCATCGCCTAAAAAAAATAACTCAAAATTAATTAATGTATGTAATTAATTAATCTAATTCATGTGTGGAAGTCCCTAAAACTTTGGTCACAGTGTTAAATATCCAAACTAGGCTAAGTATTTATCAAACCATAAGCTAAAGTTAGCCATCAACACTGCATACACTTTAATCTTACCAACAGGTTTCAATATCCCGGACAAGCCCCCATTTATGACAAATTGGCACAAATTAGGTGATAAGGAGCAAGTCCACACAAAAGGTTTACAGAAATAAAAAAATAATTTAATTAACATAATCTAACCAACAGATAAACATCACAAATAGGTTGAGTCCTGTCGGAGTGGCAGAAAGAGACTAAGCAGTTTATCTGGTCCAGCTTTTATAGAACTGGAAAACACAGGTGAGCTGCCTTAGCTGTCCATCCCCATCTAGTTAGAATAAAACAAAATACTTTAACCTAAAATAATCCTTTATGTAATCATATACATTCTAAGTAAATTGTCCTTTCATTTTGGATTTCTTCCTCAACAATGTTACAAAATATCCTCACTTTCAGGAGCTCTCCTTGACCAGCACGTATTTTATCAGACGCATGGAGCCTCGTTTCCCTCTCCATGATGTACTGTAGCGTCCCATCCTCTTTCTTTGACCCCTCCAGCTCACCACCAGCAGGATAGAGCAACAGCAGCTCAGCAGCACTGTGATACAAATGGCCACAGCAACCAGCAAGGTGTCAGCAGCCACATACCACCCATGTCCGAGGCCTGGTAGGGTGTCATCTCCACTGGCTCCCTCGTTGCTTACTGTGTGGTTCCTCCCATGGTTGCCCTTGGTCTCATTTAGATACAGCTTGCTGCTTTCTGTGTAGCTTATAAGAGCTGCAGAAGTTGAAGGGCTGCTGGCCAACTGAGAGAAAGTGGCGGTGGGATGACGGGTAGGGGTGGATACTGGGGATTGTGGACTTGTGGTAGAAAAAGCAGACAGAATCTTGGAATTGTAATGGCCCAGAGTGCTAACTGTGGTGAATGAAGGAGATGGAGTAATGCTATCTGGAAGAGAAGTGGTGGAGACAACTGCGGCTGTTGTTTGTGCATACTTTTTTGAAGATGGGGGAGTTTTTTCAGTGGAAGGCACAGCAGTCGTAGTTGTGGAAACTGCTAAAGGCTGACCGGTGCTCTGCAGTGCTGTGGTGGCAATGACAGACGCCTCTGTGGGGGCATGAACTCTGCCAGCTGTAGTGGAGGGTTTAACGGGCGGAGGCGGATGAATAAATTGGCGCTTGTCTGACAGCAATGGCTCTGAGGCGTTATTGCGGCTGTAGTGGTGGGGTAACACACGCACGTTAGAGGTGAAGTATTTTCCAAACACCAACAGATCAGGATCCACACCTAGAATACGAAAAAATGTGCTTGTTTGTTTGCTTTTCATGTTTTTGCTGGTGTTTTTATCTAAACGTTTAATAGCGAGTGATTTTTTTTTGTTATTCCAAAATAAGTGACAACTACAAATGCTATGCATCTTTTGCAAGAAAAGCAAAGCTGGAAGCAAAACGATTTTCAGATAATTTACTTCACTGAAGTTGGGAATCTCCTATGCAACATGCTAAAATCAGAAGAAGAAATATTAGAAATATTTGATTCTCAGTCGTATATATTTGCTTTGCCGTTGGTGGGGATCGTTTTAACTACTATTGACTGATCAATCATATTTTTTACATAGTACTATGCAAAAGTTCCAAACAACTCATGTCTTTACATTTTTTTTTAAAGTAAGTGAAGTAGGTGCAACAGTTTACCTAAATATGTAAACCTACATGGAAATGCAGTATACAAGGTAAAAACAGTGGTTGTACAAGTCTAACAAAAGTCAGTATTTGATATAATGACTTTTATTCTCCATCACAGCCTGAACTCTCTGAGTGAGCTTTCTTGTAATTTCTTTAAGCAGTCTTCAGCAATAGTTCTCCAGACTTCTTGAAGGACATTCAAAGCTCTTCTTTGGGTGTTGGCTGCCTTTAGTTCTGTTCTTTGTCAAGATGATCCCACCCTGCTTGGGGGCTCTGGGGAAGGCCAATGCATGACTAAGTGTTCCACTGTACACTTTATTGTCCAGGTATGCATCGACTGCATTAGGCAGTGAGTTTGGGATCATTTTCATGCAAAAAAATTAAATCATTGCCAGTAAGATACTTTCCAGATGGCATTGCATGATGGATCAAAAATCTGACTGTACTTTTTTTATTTACACCATCATGTCCATTTTTTGCTGTAGACACCCGCTGCTGTACCTCTCTCCAGGGGTGTAATTTCCAGGAGGGTTATGACCCCCTCAATGATCAGACCCAACCAATATACCCCCCCCCCCCAATAAAATTATGAATTATCTTGCATAAATAGACTGTTGATTTTCTTTATTACCAGCAAAATAGTCGCATGTTTAATCATCTGGGAATTTACCCAGATTTATTTATTTATTTAGACAGAGATCTTGACCCCCCCAATGTTCAGCACAAAGTTACACCGATGCCTCTCTCTCCTGACCTCCTCTGTAAATACTGATGATAACTTGAACATCAAACATGTTATGTGTTTTTGCCAGAGGCTGATATTAAATTGTGCTAAAGATACAATTTAAAATTTGGGGGGGGGGGGGGGGGGGGGGGGTGTATTGTTTTTTTATACTTGAATGTTAAGAGCCTTAACACACAGACACACACAAAGTTATATGAAAATAGTCAGGAACAAATGAGTGAAAAGCAGCCACTGTCCAAAGAAAAAAAAATTGAAAGGGCTTCAGAAAGCCTGGAGAACTATTGCTCAAGACCACTTGACTTCCAAATTCCAAGGAAGTCTGACTCCTTGGAAGCAAAATACACAAAATCAGGGGTGACTCAAGACTTTTACACTGTACTGTATGCAGAATTTGAACCATCTATAGTTATAGACATTTACTGTAAGATACAGTATTTTGAAATTGTTATTTCAAATTTACATCTAATCCCTAAGAATCTAACAGGATCTAAAAGGATTTGATATGCACAGTATTCATATCATTAAAAGAACAGAAGTCCACCTCTACCAGACACTAAAGCGACCTACCCTTTGTGATATTGTAGAGAACAACGTTGTCTCTGTGACTCAGAATGCAGCTCCCCAGAGTCGGACAGTGGAGGTGAAAGCAGTTCAAGATTTCTTGAGTGGTATCATAGTGGAATACAGCCAGATTACAGGAAACTATGAGAAAAAACAGAAAGAGGATTAATCAGGAGTAAAAGAAGAGAAAACCAGTGATGATCGTATAACTCACAGTTTCTGGTAAGGCAACAGGTGCGGCTGCATTTCAGCGCGGTCTCTTCTTGATAATGCTTCAAAAGCTGCGCTCCTCTCCTCTGAGATTCCTCAATATCGATGAAAATCCCCGGGAACCGTCTAATCCAGCAGTTCTTATAATAGGAGGTCGGTGAGCACCTCGACTCAACGCGACACACCAGACTGAAAACCGCCAGCAAACCCCATGCGGCGTTCATTGCGCATATTGTAAATCACACCATGTTAGAATGCAATCAAGACAAAGCCTCGACATATTTGGGAGCTGATTACTTGGAGTTGACAGGCATGAAATGGGGCCAGTGCTTTGGTTTTACTGGTGCCAGCTGTGTCACAACTACGCACCTACAGGAGGTGGAGACCCAGCCGTGCGTAAGGTGTCCAGGGCTGTGCCACGTGTGAGTGCACTAGGCTGCTTGACCAACATAATGGGATCAACTAACTTTACAAATAAAATCAACAAATGTTGATGTTCAAATGTTCAAATTATGTGAATTTACACTGTGGTCATAAATACGTTTCATAATCTGCATTCGTTTTCCAGTGTTATCAAAGAAAAGGCCACAATGTGATGTGTTTTCTGTTTAGTCATATATCTGAGTGCATTTCCATAATTGTCGCAATCTGGTTTAACCCAACCCACGCCCCTTTACGCATTGAGAAAAGTTCCTGTTAACGTTTCAACGCTAGCTGTGTCCCAATTCAGGGTCTGCACGCTTGAAGCACGCGTACTACGCGTACTACGTACGGTGCGTACTATAAGTACGAGAAGTGCGGAAGTGAGAGGCTTGTGAAATGGGACGGTCTAGCCTTCGTCGCGCTGTTCAGGTTGCCTAGCAACCATGATACTAACCGTGAGACACGTTACATACAGCTTTGTTTGACAGAAATGAAGGAGAAAAATGTTTTGTTGGTCATTCATTTTTGTCATGACATCACTTTGATTAGTTGAGTATCTGAGGCTGAGATCACAGGACTGTAAAACATGATTGTTGGGCTTCATTTCTGTGCTGAACAGTCATGTAAGATTAGTTAGTAAATAACAATTAGTTAATGTTGTTCATGAGACTAAAGTCAACTCACTGTGGTAATGTAAATATAATATATCCAATATTATATTATTGTCAGATTATTATGATATATATATCTGACTTTCAGCTTGTTGTGTTTGTGGATGTATGACTGACTTTAATTATTAAACATTCGCACATAAATAAGTGACGTCATATTCAGTACTTTTGACAGTTCACTCTTCGGCTGCTCCATCTTATTAGGGAAATTCCACATACATAAATGTCAATTTCAAGACTCAACCCCATCATTTAATTTGTTTTTGATTGAAATTGAATATTACTTAAACTCTCTTAAATTACCTTCCAATATAAAAGGTTTAACATTGATTGAAATTCATTCAGAAATGTTTAAGAATTAGCTGTCACAACTTTCAAGTACAAAGTTGTTATGAAGTCTGTCACTCCCCCCCCTTTTTTTTCTTTTTTATCCTTTATTTATTTATCCTTCTTATTTCATTGTACTGTATATTGTTACTCTTATTTGCCTTGTATGTCTACTGTACAAACTGAACTGGAATGACTGACTGTTCGCTTTGTAATTTCAATAAAGTTTTGAAAAAAAGAAAAAGAAAAAAACTCTCCCTTCTGCCGTATTTTGCGGCAAAATTATCCACACCCACCGCTGCGCTATGAATTGTGGGATATATGGGACCACGAAGCGTGCACCGGACCACGCTTGATATTTGGGGAAATCGACGGCGCATTTGAAGTATGCATTTGAAGTACACTTCAAATTGGGACAGCCGTCGTCGCGTGGCGGTGACGTAACCGCACTTAAAATGCGTACTTCAAGCGTGCAGACCCTGAATTGGGACACAGCCATTGACTCTCCCGTAGTTTTTCCTGACTGGTCTGGGCTCTTACGGGTTAGGTCGGTCAAATGACATTACCAGAATAATGGCACCAAAAGACATATCTGTATTATCTGTTACCCCCTTTAAAATGTACGTACTTTATATTTTACCACAAAGTATGCCAGTGTTTATTTATTTGTGTATTTATTTTTAACTATGCACTCTCTGTAGCATTAATGCAGCTCTAACAAATACCACAGCAGACTAAAGTTGATAGAGTGATTTAAAAATAGAAGCAATCAAGTGGATTTTTTTTTAAATAAATAATAAAATAATAAAAAGAAGGTTTGGTTTAACCCTGTTGAACTGTACTTTGTCTTTCGCACTATGATTGCTGGGACAGGCTCCAGCTCCCTGTTACCATGGACTGGATAAGGAGTTGTAAGTGCGAGTTCACATATTAATAAAGTCACATCAGCATCGGAGTATGATGTGTAAGGTTTCTTACAATACAAAATATGGCGCCTTGAAATACTACATTTGTGATTTGCTTCTACACTTACACCGATTCTAACCTACCAAGTTAAATCAAACTAACAAAGTGTAATGTTGCCACAACACCACTAGATGGCAATCGTCACTACTGTTAACAACATCTGTGTCACTACTACATTAAAAAAGTGTATTCTCTGCGCTTGCTGTAGTAGTTCTTTTTTTTTAAATATAAAATATCGGATGCATACGTGGATGTGATTAAAACTGTGAGCATGTAGTGACACTGCCCACCAAAAAACCCACTAAGAGAAAGTAAAATGTTGTTACACATTTATGTTGATAACTAATTCATGATTTTGGTCAGCTATTTAGCAAAAATAGTAAAAAAAATTTACTTTAGCCTCTTAAATGTGATGATTTGCTTACACAATCCTCTCTACATTAACAATCAGAGAAAATTAACGACCAACAGGCTAATCAGTCATTTTAATCTGCACCCTTAAATACTTACTTTTTGGTTTCCGGGGCCTCACTGGAGCTAAAGCACTGCCATCTGCAATTATTTTTGACTTTCTTCAGCATGAGGCTGTTCATCCACTATAGAACAGTATGGTGCTCATCAACAACACCTTCCAAAAGTAAACTGATTTACTATGCACACTTTAAACTTTCAATATATTTATTTTATCACCTTTCCAGTGTGCACACAACATACTGGGAAAGCTGTAAAAAGCTGTCAAAGGAAAGTCTCTCTGACAGCTCTGTCAAATCCTGCACATTTTATAATTCTCCTAAACACGTTTATGCAGCGTGTAGCAGTTAGTGGAAATACTACAAAACCAGCGAGGACTTATGTAAGAAACACTTGTATTTTCATGTGACACCTCAGGGCAAGTTACAGATGCAGACAACTTCGATAATCGGCTTACAAGTCCAAATCTGGTTCAAGTTAGCAGTGTTATTATGTGCCTTTTGTTGCAGTCAGACAGTTTTCAATCAAAAAACAGTAAGACAAGAAACATTCAACATTCAACATCAAACAAAGTGAATACAAGTTCTTTTAAATCGTTTTAGCCACCTGTCAACGTAACTCTGTTAAGAGAAGGTTGTGGCACTGTACATAATCGCTCCAGTAACACAAAACATTGGCACAAAAAAACAGTGATTTTTTTTCTTTCGGATGTGCAAATAAGGGATTCTCAGTATACTTTTATTATTTTTCCCATTTTTATATATATTTATATTTAAGTCACTAGATGGCACCCTGAGGCAGCCAGACTTCTCTGTCACAAACATCCCCTGCACATGCATGTGTGTAAAAGAATCTAAATTAAAAACAAGCGCTAGTAAAAATGAGATGGAAAAAAACACCACCAATTACAACTCTCTCATGCAGGTCTTCTTAGCTATGTTTGGCTCCTTTGGCATAGAAACCACAGTGTACACAGTGGTCCTCCTCTTCACACACAGCCAGTTTCAACTTCCACAGTCCCAAATCTAACTCTTGTTCAGCAGTAGTTGTGTTCCTGCACAAACCGTCACAGCCTGTGCTTCTCCAGGCTCCCGACCGCCTCGTATGAATTCATCTTGTAGAGGAAGTAGTCTATTGTGTAGTGTTGTTGCTCACCGGTGTGCTACAATGGGTCTAGAACTGGTAAGTTCAGAGTGAGAGGCCGTGTCAGTCTTTGACTAGCCTGTAAATATGATGCTGCGCTCCGTGCTCGCTAGTGGACACCTCGAAGACGTAGGCTATGCACAGCAGGGTCTCCAGTGTGTCCCTGTTAGTCACCACCTGTAGACAAACACAAACTGGTGTCATATTGTGAAGCTTCGTTTGTCGTGTTTTTACTTACAATGTAAACTTACCCACAGTTTGGACAACACCGATTTTTATAGCTTCTTCTTATTTTTTATTTTTTTGTGGTTCTGGCAGAGCCGTGGCTTTTTGCTACATCACTAATGAAGTGAGCCTGCCAGCTAGTTTAGGCAGGCAACTCGAGCTCCACTGCGTCATACCCACGTAACATGCCTCCCTCTTCTCACGCCGATACCGAATACACCCTCCCAATTTGGCAGTTGATTTAAGCAGTAAAGTTTCCTGATGCTCACTTGGACATCACATTGCCACCAGTTCCCTTCATCAGTGCTCGCCGTTTCAACCTCTCCACCAGCCCTGCATCCACCTTTAGGCTGTGGGGATGGTGGATAGGGCGTATTTACTTATCGCTTCCCAGTTTTAAATGTAGCACATTCATGTGGAGTGATGAGCTTAGAGCCTAGACACCTAACCCTAACTAGTCTCCCTGGCCGGTTCATTAGTTAAATATACTGACTAATTACTGACACATACACACTAATAATGAGTAACTGGACACACAATCCCTTGGCTGAAATGGTGCTATTCTATACATAAGGCTGATATGTATCTAAAGTACTGCTTGGCATTCATGGAAAGGCAACATGCATAACATGACAGGAAAAAAAACTCCTTATGTTTAACAACGTTGCACTAATGACATGCTGCCATGTAGTCATCAGTGTGGGCTCAATATGGTCATTGTGCCTTTGCTAGGAGTGTAGGAATGGAGCCTCCAATAGAAGAAACACATTTTTAAAAACCCTGTCTTTTAGGCCCCTCTGGTTACTATGACAACACACCCCACTATCCACTGAGGAGCACACCGGCTCATTCAGAAAAGTCCAACTAGAAGGCATAAAATTAAAATGGTTCCAGCTGTTTCTGGTCTGTCATGGTTAACCAATTGAAATACCACAGCAGTACTTAGCTGAAGACCACGGATTTCCTGTTTCACACCCATTACAAAGCAGGGTGAAGTCTACAAAAAGAACTCTAAATTTGAGAAAAGGTGCCTCCACAAATGTTGTTAATACATGTGTGTGTGTGTGTGTGTGTGTATATATATATATATATATATATGTGTGTGTAGAGTTTTTGTCAATAGCCTTTTTTCCAATGAAAATAAGACCATGACTGAATAAAAACTAACGCAGGAGGACAAAAACTATGATGACAAGTATTAACACGCTTGTCAACAAATAATAAGATGAAAATATTCTGGAGAGATGAGATCCAACTAATTAAGTTGTGTAGAAAGGTGGGACGAATTTGGAAGTTATCCAATCAGAACTAATCACCTATGGTTAGACATGCACATTTTATCTGCCCCCAGTAACAGTACACCTTTTTTTTTAAATTTATTTATTTTGGTTGGGGGGGGGGGGGTGTAACAGTTGCTTCCAAGCTCCTTGTTTCTCATGAAAACATGACAAAATGTCAATGCTTGGGAGAAAGATAACAATAGAAACAGGTTGCATTTGATATTGAAAATAAGACCCTTAAAAGAAGACTGACTGTGTGGACCAAAACTTTAGTCAGCTGGATAATCGCTTGATTTGATTTATTCAACTAAAACTAGACTAAAACAAAAAGAATTTAGATGCCTAAATTACGACTCAAACAAAACCAAAATTTATTTTCTGTTGTTGCATATTTGTAATTAGTTAGCAAGTGAATCCAGGGTGAAGTAGTGTGGAAATATATGATTTTATGAAAACAAGTGATTATAGTTTTGTATTCTCCATTAGTATTTACTAGCTGGCTAAACTGTTTATTTTGAGTCTAGTTTCTGAGTTGTGATGTGAAATACTTCGACCCCACTCTGCTGCTCATAATTTGAGTCCAAACTATATGATATCAGTGCAGCTCAAGAGAAGAAGCTTATTTCTTGTCATTAACAGCCTGGGGAAAGGTAAGCTGCAGTTTTATACGTACTACACAGATTTGAAAGTTGGTACCTGTAAGATAGTGAAGTTTTCCAGTACGCTGTTCATCATGTACTTCTCCGGCAGGTGTTTAAGCTTGTGGATAAAGTTGATCATGTATTCGCACAACGGAGAGCGGTGGATCCGAAACACATAGCGTCCATTTTCGAAACGCGCGTACTCCGTCTAGGGGAACAGACACATACAAGTGAAGTTTAATATCTGCGAACATATATCACACTGAAAGAGAATTTAAAAATGTATGGATGAAATGTGAAATCTGTTGCAAAAACACAGGGATACATAGGCCACTGAAACTCAAATGGATGCATTGGATATGAACGTCTAGGTCTACTGTATGTGATAAGCAGTATTGTTTGTAATATAATATACCTAATGCGGCATATGGCATGCCAGATATGACAATAAACATATTTCTTGTGACAACCGTAATCAAATAATGAAGCCATTAAATATCATCATGTGGCCGATTGAGGCAGATGGCTCTACCTAGGGATATGTGTGTATGTGCTTATATTGTACAATCCATCAGCAGCGAGTGGGGGCGGGGCGGCTATTGTGTACGGTTAACGGGAAACATAACAGTTATTCATATTGGGGAAATTTGTGAATCGCGTCAGTTTACAGACCACAGATCAGCAGTAACTGACTGGAATCTGCGGTGGGGGTTATTCACTCCCCAGTGTGATAATTGTGGCTTTTGATGTGGTCATGACCTCTTTATGTCGTAACATCACTCCTCCATCATTCAATCGGTGACGCAAACTTCCTGAATTGGAGCCAAATATATACGTTACTGCCGATAAATGGGAAAAGTGGAAGGTGTCAGTTTTGTAAAACAGCTAAACTAAAAAATGATATTTACAGGGGAAAAAAATGGCTGACTAATAAATGTTGCTTAAAAATTAAGTGGTCACATTTTGTAATGTATTAATTTAATATTCATATCTCACCAACAAAAAATTGAATCACTGATGACTAAAAATATTCCTCCAGCTGAATCTAGTTTTGGATGAAATTCACATCTTCTCAATAGAACATTTTTAATAGCGATTAAAACCTTTCAAACATAACTATCTTATTTAACAAAAAAGCTGCAAATTTAATTTTTCTCAGTCCTGACTAGCATGTAGAGATATCCCAGTCTGTTGCTGGGTACATTTCCAGAGTGACAGCAGCTAGAATTACAGGTTATATGACGTTTATTGGTCCGACAAGAGTTTTTTTCATAAACAATTCTCATAAAAGGAACAGCTATAAAATCATAAAATGTCATTTCTGCTCATGTCATAAATATTTCAAAGGGCCTCTTTAATAAACTTTGAAGACGGCATTGCTCCGAGCCAAGAAGTTAGCCACATCTGTTAGATAACATCTCTACTGGGACCCCAAACAAATAAGAGGAAGCCTGACTCTTTGCCCAGTGGGCACATTTGGTTGAATAGGCTGGAAAAAGTAAGAAAAACAAATTGTGCCGAAAACATATGCAAAATAGTGCAAAAATTCCATTAACATGGCAGCATAAGTGTATATACTCTAATAAAAGATGACATAACAAATGACACTTGACACCTTCCAGTATCGCATTCTTACCTCAACTTTCTCCACCACTTGTTTGCCAAAGGAACAGACCTTGGTGGATGAGGTGATAATCATGTTCTCAGAGCTCTCGTACTGGCTGGACACACCATAAAAGAAGCTGCTGTCATCCTGCAGGTTTACACTAAGGTCCGCCTGGAAGGAAGAAAGAGATAATGTGTTAATATATACTTGGCCAAAGGGAACCATGGTGATTAAAACAGCTTGGTGGTGTATAAAGACCTACAAACCTCAGCCCCTTTAAATGGAGATGTGTGCACTACCCATGCACCACACTGCGCATTCACATACTTGAGGATAAACAGTTCATACAGCTCTGTAATCTACAAATTTCCACACCTATGGATCTCTGCGTCAAAGGTGCTCCGGCTCAACAAAGCTTGAGAGGTAACCTTGGTAAGCCAAGAAGTGCTTACAGGACAGATCCTCATTTACCCAAGTCGAATCCAGCCTAAAGATTGCCAAGATGTACCGCCTAGCTCCCCTCTCATCTCTTCATCACCCCGTTCATCTTCATGGCTCATATAATTCCTCTGCCTCACTGTATGTATAAGCGTGCAAGATGATTTTGCATTCCAGTGGCATTGTGTTCACTCTACTTACAAGAAGCGTCCATTGGATTTATCTTGGACTTGTAGTGTTTCTAATCAAAAATCACAAAATCTATATAACATGTAGCAGCCCGAGGCAAGACGATAAGTTGCATAGATTGTGAAAAAGAAACGATTTTGACATCTGTCATAAGCAAGAACCAAAAGTGCTGGAATGCTGAACCGTTTCTATGAGAAGAATATGGCCTCACAAGTTCAAAGGCAGCTTAGATTCAACTTTCTTTATTCTCAGATGAAGCAGCTTCACCCACCTCTAATCCCCCCACTGGCTCAAGTTTGAACTGAGGTGAGCATAATCAGATTTTGGATCAGACTGAGGTGACGCCTCTTCTGTCAGACAGCTGAGCTGCTTTACCTTTTCCCCTGTCGGGCTCTTGTCTCCTAATGGGCCATTGAGACACCGCTCAGCCTCCTCTCATCTCTTCATCACCCCGTTCATCTTCATCCCTGGCTCATGTAATTCCTCTATTTGTCTTCATCCCTGGGGCCTAGTGACCCTCCTCAAACTGCCATTCCCTGCTTCCCTAACAGCCTGCGAGGGAATTCATCCAATTACAATCAGCAGCGTGCAATTGGCTGATTAGATCATGGTGGGCAGGCTGGCTGTGTAACAATTTAGCAGAGCCAGCTCAAATCAGATTCCCTCTGCACTTCAAAGGCGTGAGACAATCCGTTAGGACAGGGCCACGGGCGCCGAGGGGGTGAAGGAGAAGAAGATGGGGAGAGGAGCAGGGCAGAGAGTGGCCGACAGGGAGGTTTGCTGGAAATTCAATCTAGAATACCATAGCTTTGGAGACGGGTCAGCCGCCTGTCACCATCACCATGCCAACCTGCGCCTCAGCACACCCCGAAGTCACAACCTGCTATGTGGCTATATGACTGCAGTGATACCAAATAGCCTCTTTCCAGCTTTTACAATGGCTTAAATAAGGTTATCATATTTTCAGATGTGTTAAGGATTTCATTTTGCTTATTCTCATGGCCAAGAGCGACTTTTCTGGGGGTTTTTCCATTGTAGCTGTTGAAATACCCAGCTGTTTTTGCAGCATTTCTGGGTTTTGTCATGGATGCCTTGAGAATTGGAGGACCCCCTTGGGACATGATAAAATGAACAGGCTTGGGGGGAGGGGGGACAGTGTTATGAGCTTGTTTTCCTCTAGCAAGTTGGATATGTCATAACTGTTGACTCCACCAGGCTCTGACATGAATCAAGAGGGTAATATTTCACTGGTGACTTGTTGGGTTAATGCCACCCAGCATTTCTCCTGCTATCCCTATCTCTTGTTCACACCTTCTGTGTCTCTATTTCTACCTCCTGCCCGTTATTGCTGTCTTGCTCTCTTTTCTTTCAGTGATATATGGCGAGGCTACTCATCCCCTTCTTCCCCTCGCCCCCGATTCAAATGCCACAGCTCGACCAGCTGCTCTTCCCAACCCTGGAGTAAAGTACTTCCAATATGGTGCCACTCACCAATGTCTTTTATCTGTCTACAATAAATAATATGTAAGTCAAGCATGTGAGAAGGGTAATGGCATACATACGAAGCCATCTGGTGGAATCGGATGCAAGGCGGCACTTTGAACCTGACATTCAGCATCTTTGGAGGCGTCACACAGCAGCAGTTAACGCTTTAATATACCATGTCACCTTGACATGGTATATTTTTGTGTGAAACGATTCAGTAATTTGTGAAAGCAGTAAGATTTGATTGTTTTTAGTTACTTCAGCCTCCATAATGCCTCAGCCATCAACATGCAAGCAACACAGCAAAGTGGTGAAAGTACACACAAGGCTGTATGAAACCTATGGCTGTTTACAACGCTTCTCCTCAAACGTACTTTCAACTCATTTTAAGCTTAAAGGTAATTCCACCCCACCCCAACGTGTCAGATTCGGCAACTGCCGCGGCAGTTGGATGCCGATCTGTTTATTGAACATCAGTGGGAAACACTGAGCACTGCCGTCTGTCTCAGACAGCAAAACCTCTGCTTTGGATGTGTTTGTCACATAGATTTAACCCCACACAACCCTTCACACACTAAAATAATGCATAAGCCTTAACTGTCTGCCCATAGCCAAGTTATATATTGTTGTTGGATTCTTATAAACTCACTAAGTCTTACTGGTAAATAGACCGATTGTTTTAACTACTCTACACTGTCCTCATTTACCCATTCGCACATTTTTTTCTATTTTCCTATCTTGGATGAATCCACTGGAGGGCAACTTGGAGTTCAGCATCTTGTACAAAAATACTTTGACTGGAGTAACCAGGGAACCAGTGATTGAACCACCAACCTTTAGGTTAGCAGATGACCTGCTCTATCACAGCCACTGGCAAAGAGGCTGTCCATCCTTGATTTTCTGTCATTTATTTACTTCAGAGTTGGTCCTTTTAAAAGTGTTTTTATTTGATATTATGTGGAGAAGTGAGGCAAATACTAAAGCAACATGGCCAGAGAAACAAATCAAAAGAATGAACAAAGTCAATGTCTGTGTCTCTTGCCCTCTTTCTCCCTTCTCTGTCCCATTTTTATGTCCTCAACTTGGAGTTTCCTCAGATTTCCAGTGGATAATTGGGAATTACACTACCATCTATTCGTCTGCTTGTATCTTATGCTGACTTTGTTATCATGCTTTATTCCCTAAATCACTCTCAATGTGTGATGGTGGGGGTAATGAGAGTGATTCGTTGTTGTCTGTGTGTGTGTGTGTGTGTGTGTGTGTGTGTGTGTGTGTGTGTGTGTGTGTGTGTGTGTGTGTATGCACTTTTGGTGGGGCTTATCTATAAATAAGAATATAAGGAGGGGGTATGAGGGTTGGTCAGTCTAATAGTGCAGAGACAGGTGTCTCGGATCACATTTCTCCTAGTGAAAGATCAGGCCTGCCACTCTCCCCAAGGTTCCTGTCACACACACACATTCACACACTCACATACACACACATCACAGGCAAATATACAAATACGCACAAGGCAAATGCATGTTGGACAGCAAGGCCTTCTTTGCTGGCATATAAACCACCAATCGGGTCAGGGAGCCATGACTTTCCATTCATTCTAGCCCTAAATCACACTTAAGTTCATTTAACTCCAATGCTTAAGCTATCTCAACACAGTTAACACCGCAAGGCCATTAACAGCCAACAGGTGCTACAAAACATTAACAAGAGCATTCACTGTACTCTCACTTCACCTTCTTGACTTCAGGAGGATTATATGATGATGTATAAAACATGCCACACACAGCTATCATACTGGGCTTTATATGGAGTAAAAAATTACAGTGGAGGTTTTCATCTGAAATTAGTTTGAGATAAATGAAGTGAGCTTAGAAGGAAGAAACAAGGGAAGATCATATAAAACTATTAAGAGATAAAAAAAAAAAAAAAAAATGCAGAGAAATGTTTTACCCAGAACTTGACGAGAAAGAAAGCGTTGGGTGGCCCCTTGTCAAACAGCTCTTTCAGGCCCCCTTTCTTCTCTGGGAACTTGTCATAGATCTGCCTGATGTCCACCGACTCCAGATAGGGGTCGCTGTAGCTCGGATTGGACTGGCCGATATGCACAAACAGGTGCTTGTTGAACTGGAGAAACAAAAGTGCATATCAGGAAATGAACGCATCCAGAAATGGCAAATGTTTCATTTGCTGAATGCCGAGCTCTGTTGGCTGCTATCTGACATCTGTTATAAGAAGCCAGCCGCTACATTTGATCGCCTTCATTGTGATATCCCATCACCTGTCTCAAGGGTCCCACCCTTTTTCTTTCCACTTGCAACATTCCTGATCATCTGATGTGTTGTGTGTATTCTTTGAGATCATCTCATGATCTTTTTTTAGTTGCAGTCACACTTGGATAGTTCAATGCAGTTTTCAATTGCCAGATTAGTTTTTAACATCGGCTTTTGCCATAAAATAAAATCAAATGTAGCAGAAAAGTTACTTATTGCCTTCAGAATTTGTAGCTTTACTTTTGTTTATAGGACAAAAATATTTCCTAATCAAGGTATAAGGACCACTGTCAGGTGTAAATGAAGTGAGCAGGATTCTTTTATTTATTCATTTTCATTTTTTAAGAGTAAGCCTTTGTTTCAACTATGGTAATAATAACGCTAACTAAACTACTGATGGATCCACTTTACTTACAGTCTCCGGGTCTTGAGGTTGCTCTAGGAAGGCAGAGAACTCCAGCATTCGCAGCTTGGAGCTGGCAATACTTCGACCCTGCCAAGGGGGGGCACCAGGAGACATGGACAGCCCCTGTGTGTTATCATAAACTGCAGAAGAAAAGGCCGCAACCATGTGAACGTGTCGTTTGACTGTGACTTGAGTAAAAGTTGATAATGCAGCAAAATTGCTGCGATTTGTGTGAGCATTATGCAAGCTCTTTATGATGAGCTGGGTTGTCTCGGCACTTTGCTGACACGACAGCCTTCTGTCAACACCCACCTGTTATCGGGGCAGGGCCAGACGCTTGCATGGCATAGCTCTGTTGGGAAAAGGGCTTAATGCTGGAGAGAAGAGACAGACAAGAGAGGGGGAGAGACATTATGCACCGTCTTGGCCTCATGGCCCCTTCTCATTTACTAATTGGAGCACCTGACCTCTAAAGACGCAGGAGCTAGAGTGGTATGCTGAATGTCAGGCAGCTGAAGACTTTTCTTTATAATTGCACTGATGTGTTTTCATTTGCTTTGAGATGAATTCCCCAGGTGAAATTTATCTGATGGTTAATAAACTTATAGCATGAGAAACTAATGATAGACAGCACTCAGGAAAAGAACAAACAACTACTTACTCTTCATGGCTTCCTGGCTGTGCTGGAAGTGCCCCGTGCCAAAACTTACAAAACAGAAAGAAGGGAAAGTACATTAAATTGTTGCATCATACCAGTAATCCTCATACTGAGGTGCTTATTATGTATTCAAGATGTAAGCCTGAGCTGACAAGTGCTTCTTAAAAGAAATCAAGCTTCCTTATTCACAATTGAAAGGTAAAAATTGTAAGCAGACAATCTGAATTCACCAAATAACTCGCCTACCAGAATATGATATACATGTACGAGTATATGATTTTTAAAACATTTGGATTAAACCCACAGAATCCTTGATGGATTCTGTGCTACTGCTCAGGGTTTTAGGAAGACGTGAAGACTCACCCCACCACTAGTGGGGTAAGCTGGCCGAGACAGGCCCTGGAGAGCCATCTTGTTCTGGAAGGCTGTGGGCGATATGATCTGGGCTGATGACATGGTGGCCATGCTCTGGAGGGCCTTGTCTTTGGCAGCCTGATCCTACAGAGACAGAAGACGAGAGAGCGAGAGTAAGATTAAACAGACAGTAGAAAGCAAAGGGACAGCACTCATCAGACTCCATTTAAGTCTGCGTCCTACTTCTCCACTAACACAAGCAGAGCCCTAAAAGGGGAAATGAAAGGCAGAGGCCAGCTTGCATCATCGGTGAATCCCTGCCAGTCAGAGAGCTGCAGAGAAGGTGATATTACAGTCAAGGACCTTTAGGTCAAGAGTTAAGTTTATTGCTTTGGCAGGGGCAAGCCAGTGATGACAACTAGCTTCTGTTAGAGGTCATACTTTAAGTCACTGCAGGCAACGGGGTGATATGTTGATATGCTTACCATAACAATCCCAGAACTGGTAAATTCTAATGTCACAAAAAGGATTTTTTAAAAAAAGATAAAGGACAAAATGTTTAAACTATGAGGAATACTGTAAAGTGATATCGCTCTTGTTTTTGAATCCACTCCTTCAGCAGTCCGCAGACCACAGAGGACTACAAGCACTTGCCGCCAAGCCCAAATGGGCAAGGCCACGGGGTGCATTCTTCTTCCCAGAACTGGCTAACACAAGGGCATAGCTGAAATATGGGGGGTACATGTGGCAGGGATCTCAGTTACACCAAAGACGCATTTAAAAAAGGCCTGTCACAGGGGCCAACCCTGTGACCAGCGCAGAGCCCTGCCAGCTGAACCCTCGTGGCTACCATCCAAGGCGAGGGAGAGTCCTGTTGCCTGCTGTGACTGCGACTATGCGAGCGCATGCGGATGAGAAATGCAAACTGAGAAAGTACTGGGGGGGCAGGGATGTGTAAATGCTCAGCGTACCACTCGGAACACTTTTATTGTGGCACTTAATAAATGTAATACCTGGCAGTAATAATGCAGGGATTCATATATTTCCTGAAAACTGTGTTTGGATCATCATATTCACAGGCGTGCACAGAAAGCCTCGGGCTTTGGGGAAACATGTTCACATTTCACTGAAATGTGCCAGCATCGCATTTAAAAGCGGCACCAATTAGAGGGTGCAATTAAGATAGCTGGTCATTTGTGTATTTGTTTTAAAGGAATGTGAACGGCAGCGCTTTTTTCTTCAGTATGAGAGAGAATAATATAGGGTAATTATATTTTCACCCCTTTTCCATCTGTTACTGCTCAAGCTGATTAATATCACCGCATTAACGGCACCTCAGTTCTGATACTTTGGTCTGATTATAGCCTGAAGTCAAATCTAGCAGTAATAGTGATAATAACAATATCTTGAATAGTCAAAAGCATTTTGAGAATGTATAAAAATAGTTTGACTCACGTAGCGTACCTTCAGCTTCACCTGGATCTCCCTGGCCTTCCGTCGAGCTAGAACCTGGATATGACTAGACACCTGGAAAGCACAGACAACAAAAACAACTGAATGTAATAAAGCACAAAAACGGTCTGTTTACATGGTTTTCCCACTGGTCGAGCTTCCTCGCACAGTTTAAAAGACAAAGGCAGGTGAACTGGAAACTCTGGCCAAAGGTGTACATGTTTGACCGCGTGGCAACTACGAGCTATTCTTTTTCTAATCCACGAACGATCAGCAACTTTAAAAAACGGTGTTAATTTAAACCTAAGGTCAACTAATATTAATTACTATTACATGTCCAGTAGTCAGAGACAAACATTATCATCCATCTGAAGTTGTTTTCAAGCCACATGTGCATCACTATAAGTGATCCCTTTCACGTGGTCACTGTTATTTGATACCTGTTATTTGATAGGAAATGTATGGTATATCCAGGGGTTAAATTAGGATTTATGAGATTTATGGTTTATGAGAAAAGTGAGCCATTGTCCACTGAGTTTAGTGCCTAGGAGTTTATTAAAGTAGTTACTTTTTTCTTCTGGGATACTCAGAGTTGCAAAGACTGTTCCTGGGAAGATTTGTTGCAGCTAAAATTTTATGTGTTATTTTTCAGTCCTGTTTTCTCTTGGTGTGTTTAAAAAAATGTATTTATGTACAGTGCTTTCTGGTTAAACAGCCTTTTAAATGAGGAACACTGAAATCTGTAAAGCCCGGTGAAAAGTATCAACATTTATTTTCTTTTTCCGGGAATTCTGACATTCCAGGTGTGCATATAAAGAAAAGATACCACTTAGCAAAAGTGGTATCTAAAGTAAACCTATAGGCTGAACATAGATTTCTTAACCACCTGTCTGTTGCCTTATTTTTTATATACTTAAATGATTAGATAGGTTTCATACTCACAGCAATATCACTTTTGCAAATGATACTGCATTTATGGTGCAAAACTGAAATTCCTTCAGTAATTGAACACTTTTAAAGAATAATGATTCTCTAGAGGAAATAATAATAATAATTAAAACTTAGCTACAGTTGTGATGGATCAATCCTGAGCACAATCCATGTTTTCCCAATGATCTCACTGTAGGAACTGAATACATGCGTAGCACAGCTGTCTGATGTGCACAAAAAACCCCAAAAAAACAACAACACAACCAAAATGAAACCCCAGAGGACAAATGTGCCACTTACTCAAATTGCGCACAGCTCCTTTTCTCACTTTGGAGATAGAATTAGCTATTATTAATCTCTGGCTCTCCTCCACAGTGTGTCTTTTGTCCTGTCTTCCCCCCTTTCACCACCAAATGGTGGCAGCAGATGGCTGTCCCTCTCTGATTCTGGTTGTTCCTGTTAAAATGATTTTTCCCTTCCCACTGTCACCAAGTGCTTGCTCATAGGGGGTCATCTGATTACTGGGGTTTTCTCTATACTTTTTTAGGGCCTTTACCATATAATATGAAGCATCTAGAGGTGACTGTTGTTGTATTTTGATGCTACATAAAGAAATTGGATTTAACTGAATTGTTTAACCTGCTGTTGTGTGTTACTGAAGTCAAAGAAAAAAGAAGTTTTAATTTGTCTGCGGTGGTGCATGAGACAGTGTCTAAAAGCAGATCTCAAGAGTTGGATGTATGTTTGTAACGCAGAGCTTTGGTGTGCGTAGCTGCTTTAACAACAACGTGGTATAAATGCTTTGCATTTTGGGCCTCTGCCACATGGAGATGCTTACATGGATTCAAATGTTTTATTCCCTTCATTCTCTAATAAACAAAAACTATAAAACAAGAAAAAAACAGTGATAGACATGTAACTGAAATGTATATACTTTAATAAAACGATAAGTAAAAAGTGTACAAACTACACACTAGTTCAAGTTTCAGTTTTTAAGTTATGACCTGTTAAACAAACTCATTGATAACTAATTTGCTTTTATGTATTTTTATTGAAACACTGTCATTTTCATCCCATTTCTCGCTTGAATTCTATAATTATGGGGTCTATAGTCGTATGTAGTCGTTCTGGAGAACAGCAGTCAGTTTGCCACAGATAAACCAGCAGGTGTCCCTCTCTGCCTCCAACCTGTCTTACTACTCATCTCTGATCTACCACTGCCCCTCCTTCTGTTTCCATCTCTAATCATCTCTTTTCATTCCCACAGTGTCTCCGACAGATGACTTAGCAGAGACCCTTTCTCTCCACATCCATCACAGCCCCATACATCAGTTCTTCCATATCAGATACCGGACTGAGGATTGAGTTCCAAATCCCTCCACGTCCTGCCTCAGTTTCCCATCCAGACCACTGTTTTCCCCAGCTTCGTTTCCCTTCTAACAAGCACCAGATCCACGAGGTGGTGAAGAAACAACACCGACACATGATCTTATAGCATCTGTGCATTGGGCCACGGCCCTAAATCAATCATCATCTCCAGCCCTCCAGGGATTGAGGGTTCAGTGGGGGGGGGATGTATAGGGTGTTGGCGCATCACTCAACAGGAGTGGATTTTCTGAAGGGGTTCAAAAATAGAGGCTGCTACAAATGGTATTTGCAGAGAACTCACCTGCTTCCTGGTCCGCGTTTTCCCTGTGCGAAGTTTGATGTATCGTGCAATCAACTCATTTCTTCCTGCAAGGGTCCAAAAAGAGAGAGAGAAAAAAACATATTTTACTTTTTAATTACAAGGACCAGTTACTGGAAATTTTACAGAGGTTTGAAACAGATCTAACTCATCATCTAGTGCATTGCAATCGTACTGATGGACATGAATTGATTGTCGCGGCTTCTTTGTTAGGAAAACTGAAACAATTGAATAGATAAGGCAAGACAATCTCTGTTTACGTGTTCACATATCAGGAATATAATCAGCAAAATGAATAGCTTGAAACAGATTTGCCTGAGTGTGCACATTGTTGTAAGCATTTAGATGGCTGTGCGTATAGAGAACTGTGCAAACGCACGTGCCCGAAGTAACCACAAGGCTGTCAAATGTGTCAACGCTGAAGGCAGAAAGTGTAAGTATATCGCTAAGTTTACATGTCTGCCTGTGAGAGAGCTTGCATCAGTCCCGGGGTGACCCCCCCCCCAGTATACGCTGAGCTCATATCCCCACAGTGTGTGCCTGTGCTCTGCCACTGCTGACAGACAGGTCCAATTGGCAGAGCAGGTGGAGGCTGCAGCCATGCGATCCTCAGACCGGACTCAGGACAGACACGACACAGGCCACTGACCAAAGGGGGCGGGTCTGGTGAGGCTGTAAGGCAGCTGGTGTGTGTGTCAATGTTTATGGAATATGCTTTTACGCCTGCAGTAAATTTTGAGCTTGTTCTCTCCCATCCAAATTCCCCAGTTGCTATAGAGGCCAACAATCACGTGGTTTCTTTAACTCATCTTCCAAATTAAAACTGCAGTGTAAGGCCTAAAATGAAAAATGCAGCCTTCGTTTGTTGTTGCTACTATAAGTGAAATGGTTCAACTTGTGTGTTTGTGTGTTTCTGTCATACAAATGTACACTTTGATTATAGTCATTTGTTGGGCAAAAATTCCACATATTACCTGGCTGCAACTTCTCAACCATGTGACTCTTTTGTAAGTGTAAATGATCACAAAATAACCAGTTTAATGTCAACGTGGGTGCTAGGAAATTCGAAGAGGCTTTTTCACAATTGATTATTCAAGGGAGCAATTAGAAACATATTTATTAATGGACACCCTGCAGCAACACATTCACATTATTTTAGGCACTACGAAAAAGCGAGGACACAGACAAACTCCCCGGATCACTCACACACTGAGTGAATCACTCTCGAAGGACCTCTCGTGCACCCACGCAAACTCACAAAAATATACACAACCAGTCACACAAGAGTTTGCTAGTCTTTGCACCACCTCTTAAACACGGTCATTTTTCCCCTGGCACCACATCTCCATGTGAATTAACACACGGATCAGTCACGACACACAACCTGGTATAAACCCGTCAGATTTTCCCCTCACATAGTGATGTTTGGGTCAGACCTCACAACGCTACTCAAACCGGCCAATCAGATGACTCTGAATGATGAAAAAATGGAAACCTAACACCTGGCTCAAGCCCCATCAAACATTTTGTCAGCCAGTAAAAGTGATCAGATTTTGTGCGGAATTCAAAACAGTTTCTACTCGGAGATCATGGTAAACTTAGATCCCACCCAAGCAGTTCACTCAGACATGAATTTCCACCTAATGCTTTTCGAAAGCACGTGTTAACGAAGGTTTTGCTGCTAAATATACAAACAGACAACCTTTCAACCAGACATCTGCCACTTGTAAAGCGCTTTCTTGAAACCTCAAATAGATAATTATAACGTATTACAACCCACGTTGTGTTCTGGATGGAGAGCTTTGATGCACTGATTAACTATCAGTTAAATCAAAACTAGAATTACATTTCATCACAAGTTCTTGTCTTGGTTTCACCATTTGCACCATCACTCTCACTCTACTCAAAGCTCTCGAACCAGCGCAGAACACCATTCCAAGAAGTCAGACATTGAGTAACACCAACTGGCAGACTAACCAGTTTAAAACAAGCCATCCGTTTTGTCTGGGTCTGCTTTTGTAGTAAGTTTATAGTTTTTTACTCCAAGTCAGTTTAAAAAACTGACTCTGTGACGGCATGTGTTTCTTGCCCCAGGAGACTTGTGTTATATTTCCCGACCTCAGCAATCCAACTGTAGTAAAATACTAAGCAGTGAGAGATTGGTGGAAGTGTTTTGTGTGACTTGGCAAAAATTTGAAAATTGCTTTTTACGAAAACTGGTAGAGCGGTCGAGCACAAGCAAAGGTTTGATGGCCTTACTGCAAAAACTCAAAGGCAGATCTATGATTTCTATGTATATATATTCATATTCTTGTATTCAGGTATTTGAGCCAGGACATTCATTGCCACTGATTACGTCAGACATCGCTTGAAAACAAAACAGTGAGCAACTAAAGCAACTTAGGCAACTTGAGGCCAAGCTTGACTTTGTTGGCTGCCTGAACCAACTCAAATAGCTATAAATGACTTAAACTTAGATCAGCTTGATGAAACGCTTTTGGAAATGTGGGACTCACAAATTCCTACTGCACAAAAAAAATAAAATAAAATAAAACAATGAGCAACCTATAGGTCTATGGTGCCACTGAGGAATTAACAATAAAATATATTATTCCTCCTTTCCCACTAGAAAAACATGTGGAAGACTTTACTGATCTGGTGGTCTGAGTCAAAAGGACTACAGTTCATGTAAAAACTCTAAAAGTGTTACACATTATATAACACGGTTGAAATATGCAGAAAATGTGTTTTCTTAACGTGCTGCTATGGTCAAGGTATAAGGACATGAATTAGAATAAATGAGAGTCGGTTTGGAGAGTAAAAGAGGAAAAAATGGTCGATATTATTCTGCCTAAAGCTTCAGGCCCCTGAAACACATACACACTCACACACACATTCAGTATTATCCAACTGTAGGACTGCTTTTGTATAAGGCTTTTGTGGACTAAACCCTGCTCCAAAATGCTTTGCACTCCAGTTTATACACACAACCACACAAGTCGATATAGACATATACTGGCACACACACACACACACACACACACACACACACCAGCCCCAGCTGCGGCATTCATTCCGTCTCAATCTTATTTTCCTTTCAGGGCTGTAACTCCTCAACCGTTTAGTGTTTATCAGGAGGTGCACTCGCTGGCCGATTGTTTGAGCCCCTAAATGCATATTTCTTTAATTCCCCAGGGATTAAGAAAGTGTTCCACATTTCCTTGCAATCAAACTCTTGAAAAGACGAACACAGAGCTTTGTCAAAGTCCTCACAGTACTTGACCTCAAATGAACATTAAGTTGCCTGCATTGAGTTCCTCACATTACAGCAGCAAGTTCTTCCAGTTCCCACCGATTTATCTTCAGTGTACAGTAAGATGTACGTTGCATATCCAATAGGGATTTTCAAAGTAGCAGACACAGATGTGTGAGCATGTCTCCACAGATGAATGCAGTTCTTCAATTTTGTCATTTTTCTCGCCAGATTTTTTGAACCTTTGTCATGCCCTGAATGTAAGTTGTTGTAAAACTTGATCAACCTGTAAAGTGCCATTCTTAGAGCAAGCAAAAGACAGTGAGGTTAGAGCTGTAGCTCTAACCTAGAGCTGTAGCTTCCTGAAAGGCTGTATGGTTAAAAAGAACAAAAAAAAACAACAACTCCTAAGAGCTATTGTTTTTCTGTTCTATAGTAAAGTGAAACAATGTAACAATTCAATTCAAAATTGAATGATTTCAAAATTATTCTGTCACCATAGCGATGGACAGTATGACAATATTGTATGTATTCCAAGCGATACACAACGTCATTAAGGAGCCGTCAAACACACTTCGCCTCATGCTCACATATCAGATGCCCTGCCACTCCTAGTGTGCTTGGGGAAGGGCCCCTCAAAAATACCCTCCAACACACCCATGAGATCAGAGAGGCGACTCAGTCACACAGCGATGAGATCATGATATCCAATGGGACCAGCACAGACAGAGAACCAGTGCCAGCCAAGGCTGCAGGAAAGTCAGTAGGAACATTATACCATCACCCAGTGGTCAGCGGTCTGATGTTGTTTATCACACTGCCTGCAGTCACGGACTCGTCTAAGGGGGAATCTGATTCTGGAAACATTTCTTAAGGGTATGAAAAGTGATGTAGAAGAAGCCAAGTCAGGGTTTTACTGCGCTCAAGATATACTGCTGGGCTTTGCAATGTAGGAAAAAGTTTATAATAATATCACCACCATATGAGTGAGGGAAAAGTGTAAGTTAGAAGAGCTTCTATAAAGCTGTAATAACATTACTATAAAAAAATCATCTATAACATTATTTCACACTTGGACCACCATTCAAAGAGACACACCTGTTAACTGTTAACAAGACAACTGAATGGTTAGTGGAAGGTTAATGTATACTTTGTTAGTTGCGTAATATTTTTTGAATAAGCCAAAGTAAAATGTATTTGCAACATCCAACATGTACTGCAACAATACCACAAGTAAAAATCGCGTGGTCAGCAAACAAGATGTGTGACATGATCCAGCTTTTTCACTTCAGATAAGAATTTTGACACCTCATTTTAGGGCTCTGGCCAATACTGAGTCACTGGGTTGTGACTCAGTGTTCTCTTTTCCTCCAATTTAAAGTTATAATGTCACTAGTGTCGTGCCTTGTCATATCGCCCGTGATTATACAGGTATAAATGTTTATGTGATGTCATATTGTGATATCATTGCTATAGGAAATATATTACCCACCTCTGAATGTGACAGTCCTTACAGAACCTGCAAGGCATAGTAATATTACATAGAAAAGCATGTACCCCCTCACAGCAATCTGATTTGTCATTTATATAACAGTTAACTTACAACGGTGACAAGTGGTTACATTTCAGCAAAGTAGAGTTATAAGTTATGAATGTTGCACATCTGATTTCGTATTTTTAGAACATGTACACTTTTTGTATGCCAAATGCTAATCAAATTAGTTGTTTGGATTATCAAACTAATAGTTGGGAGGTGGGTTTCAAATAAAATACTGGTGTTGAAATAAAGTTATT